ACCGCATGCAGAGATGCATGCGGTGTCCATATGCAATAATTTCTCCACTCAGACAGAAAGATTCAACGCCTTATGCTCGACGGTCCTCGGTGCTCTACACCCATGAAATAGCTCTCACCTCATGTTGTGTAAATCATGCGATCCCCAATCAAGTAGATGGAGATTGGAGATAATGGTCTGTGGTATGTATGTAAATAGTTAAACAAGATATCAATACTCTAAAATACCCCTTCTACTCCGTTAACTTTTAACTCAAATTATTCATTTTTTTAATTTTAGACTATTTTAACATTCTTTTCAATATTTCAAATTTATTTGACACTTTAAAAAAAGTTGAAGTTATAAACAGCCCCTTTAAATAGTGGGGACCAATTTGATACATAAATCCCGAAAAACAACCAAAGAGCGAAAAACCAAGTGCCCCGCATTAAGTTCCGGCGGAAGTTTTCCGTTTGCACGATGGACAAGTCCATCGTTGCCCTTCTTCTAGTTGGTCTTCTGTCTTCCTCATTCGCTGCCCCGTCTAGGTATTTTCTTCCCTTTCCCATTTCCCATTTTCGAAGCCCTAAAATTTCTTCTTTTCTTTTATCGAGCTATTTTAAAGGATTCTCTTTAATTTTGCAGTTCACAGGATGGATACACCATCACAGGCCGCATCAAGATCGATGGTCAGTCATTAGTTTCTCTTTGTTTCAATTGATATTTTGTTTAGGATCTAGCGGTAGCTATGCTGGATCGTTTCCTTTGTACTTTAAGGAGACGATGGGTTTTTAAAATGAGATTTTTTGTGTTTTGTGGAATCAGTTATGGATGCGGTGATTTCGATCATCAACACAAAAAGCGTATTTAGAAAATAAAATCAGAATTCAGTAGAGTGATACTAAAGCTGATTGCAGTGGTATGGAAGGAGAAATTGAGTCATACCTCGGTCTTCTGGGGTAGATTTTGTCTTGGAGATGATACAGTCCCAATTTTTGAGATCGCGAAAATGGCAAATTGAGGGTACTGGTAAATTGAAAGCGGGAATTGGAGAAGAGAAATACAAATAGAGGTGCTTCTTTCATTTAGTTCAAATAAATTAAGATCATTTTTTATACAATAAACCCAAGCCTTCCTAGGTCTACCTCTGCATTTTTGAACATAAGTCGAATCTAAAACATCTATACTCCTAATTGGTTCATCAGATGGTCGACGTTTAATGTGACCAAACCATTTAAGACGACTCTCTCTAATTTTGTCCGTCATTAGAGCTACACTAACCGTATCCGGGATATATTCATTTCGCATTTTGTCTCTAAGTGTAGAGCCACTCATCCAACTAATCATTCTCATCTCGGCAACACTAAACATAGTATTATGCTTCTCTTTTTAAGGCCAATATTCAGCGCCATAGAGCATTGCAGGTCTCACCACTCTCTTATAAAATTTTCCTTTTTCCTTTCAGTCTAAGTTCCTTTCAGTCTAAGTGGTACTTTTTTATCATACGAAAGGCTCAAAGAATTCCTCCATTTCAACCAACCAACTTGAATTCAACTATTAACATCCCCATCTATATCACCGCCACTTTGAACAGCAACCTGAGATATATAAATCGTTCACACCTTTTAATAATTTGATCACCCAAAGTTACACTTCTATCACTAGAGCTACTACTGCCAAAATTACATTTCATGTATTTAGTTTTAGTTGAGTAGAAGGGGTAATTGAACATAAGTTAAGACGTATTACCGAGTTTTCTCACAATCAATTTGGTTTTATGCCGGGTAGGTTTACCATGGAAGCTATACATTTTTTGAGAGGTCCGGGTAGGTTTACCATGGAAGCTATACATTTTTTAAGAGGTTTGATGAAGAAGTTCAGAGATAATAAGAAGGATCTACATTTGATTTTTATTGATTTAGAAAAAGTTTACGATAAGGTTCCAAGAGATGTCCATTGGAGCATTCCTGGGATGAAAGGTGTTGATATGACTTATATTCAAGTAATTAAGTCCATTGGAGCATTCCTGAGATGAAAGGTGTTGATATGACTTATATTGAAGTAATTAAAGATATTTATACTAGAGCCGTTACTTGTGTTCAAACTAAAGGAGGACTAACCAAATATTTTCTTATTTCTATTGGAATACATCAATTATACTAGAGTCGTTACTTGTGTTCAAACTAAAGGAGGATTGACCAACTAACCAAATATTTTCTTATTTCTATTGGAATACATCAAGATTCGACTTTAAGCCCGTATCTTTTTACTTTAGTTATGGATGGTCTCACTGGCCATTTACAGGGGGATGTACTTTTGCTAATGATATCCTTCTCGTGGATAAGACGAGAGTAAATCCCTAGGAAAAATTGAATTATGGAGGTCTACGTTGGAGTCTAAAGGCCTTCATTTGAGTAGAAGGGGCAATAATTAGAGAAAAAAGATAAATTGAAATAAACTAACCTCCTTATCATTCCTTCCCAATAAACTTTCCTCATACTTCTTATTCCTTTCCAATATCTCCAAGTGGAGTATTTGTAGATGCACAATAATCTCACTAAAACTAATTTTTAACTAATTAAATTTTTTTAACTTTATACAACAACTAAATATTATAATGTCTTATCGTTACCCATCTCTTCTAAATGCCCTTGTCCTCAAGGCCGAGTAAGAAATGGAAAGGATACATATATGAACGAGCGGTTTTAAGTGAATTGGCTTGAGGTCGAGTCGAGCAGCTATCGTAGAGATATTGAAGGGTGTGATTTATGAGGTTGGCATCATGGCGCTAGAATTCAATTATTGAATGGAAACAACGAAGAGATTGTGCATGGCTGTGAAATCTTGAAGATCCGGAGACGATCCTAGTAGGTTTGCGAGAAAAATGGATGTAATCTTTTGATAATGATTTGCGTGTTCGGTGATGATGATGCGTAATACACGTTGAAAGATGAGTTGGAGTACAATGAGAGCTAGTGATCTTTGATGAAGATAGTGAGATGGCGGATTGCAGTAGATCTGATATAAGTTGTATGCTGGAAAATGTGATAATAGTGTGGAAATTGGATGCAATAAAGAATATTGGTTGGAATGGTGCTCTATCTTGTAGAGCGAAGATGCTTGTGGGAATGATACCTCTCAATACTATCACCAATAATACAATCCTAATTTTTGAGACCGTGATAAACGAGGATTCAAAGATACTCTAAACTCAAAAAGTCGTGTGTGAGAGAATAAAAGAAGAGAAACATAGATGAATGATACTTTGAGGTTGCCAAGAACTCCATAAGCTCGGAATGTAGAAGGAATAAGAGAAAGAAATATATATTGGAAGAAACTTACATCATCTTTTTCATTCCTTCTCAATAAGTTCAATTGGAGTATATATAGATGCAAAAGAAACTCATTAACACTAATTTTTAACTAATTAATTTTTCTTGTTAATTTAATACAAGAAAAATTTAAGATCCTATCAGAAGAGTTGGAGGGACCGAGTATTGCAGAAAAGTGAACTTTAGGAAGGTATAAATGTTAACTCAAATATTTTGGATTACCAAATGAATTGGAGGTTCATTTCTTCATAAAATTCAACCATGACAAAATGGAGTGGGGATGGCTAAACTCTTTAAGGCAGAAATAGAAAATTTCATTCATCAATAACCACGTCTAATAACAAGAAGAGGTATTTATACTAGCCTTGCAAATTAAATGAATTTAGTATTCCCTGGGCTGTTTTTTAGATAAAAAAAATCAAGAAATAAAAAAGAAAGTAATACAGATGTGTAGGTTTAAACCAGCTAATATTCTATTGAAAGGGAATAATACATCCCAACCGTGAGAAATTTTGCAGAGCACTAGAGATTGGCTCAGAAATGCGTCATTAAAATAAAAATTTAGGTTTAATCAAGTACCCTCTCTATTTCATCACATGCCAGATTCATAATTTGCACACTAGATTTCCTCAGTTACTTAAGGGTGACTTATCGGTCACATTAATCTAAACATTCCAAAATCTATAGGATGGTTATTAGTTTTTAGATGGACAACAATGTTGTAAATGAGTTGAAATTCTAAGAGAAAGGTTATTACCTTTGGAACTTGACCAATGAGCTTGAGAAGTAGGATAGGAAAAAATAATAATTGAATATGATGTTCGTGAAACTAAATGTGGGATAGTACTAAGCTGAATGAGAAAGTGTGAATGGAGAAAGGAGATGTTGAGAAACGAATTCTTCCAAAAGGGAGTTACAATGAAAGTATGGTGCTTGTGGACGCTCTTTTCATCGATACGATATGGATTTCTCGTTCTATTTTTTGGCTTGTGGTAGGCCATGAAGATTCATGCTCTATGCAAATAATCTTATGAGAAAAAAAAAATCAATATGTTTCATTCGAGTGTTGGCCATGTTCTGAATGTGAACATTATTAACATCAATGATGCAAAGCTTCTTAAGGTTTAGGACTCACTACTGCAAATCTAAGATGAGATGCATAAGGAATACTTTAATCATCACAACTTGCAATTTCTAAACTTTTAAGTTAAGCAAATATTAGTCTCCTAGCATGCGAAATTATAATACCATGTCATTCACTCCAAATAATAATTTTGAAGCTGTTAAAACGTATAAATTTTCAGGAAATCTTTATGGTTTATATTCACACAAAGGTTTCACAGCACAAAAAGGAAAATAGGAATTTAAAAAAATTTTACTTACTCACGCTACACCAATCACACAATATTTATGAAAGGTTCATGGATGGGAATATCCAATTAGAAGATTCAATCATCACATATGCACATAAAAAATCTTCTCTTATAAAATATTGTCAAGATTTGCACTACATTTGAAGGATTCGTTTCCATCCAACCATGACACAAATTTTGAAAAGAAAGATGAATTTTATTAATTCGCTCATCCAATAATACATGCTTCAAGTGTTTTATTTACGACCCAAAAAACTCAAAATTAGTAGTTTCCCACAATACTCTAAGATTTTGTATAACAACTATAAGTATTAGTTTTAATAAACTTGGTTTCTATCAAAAATAAAAGTTTTCATTTCATCCTAGACAAAAATTACAAGTCATGGCTACTATAATGCATTCACGAGATCTACCAAAAGAAACAAATATGTATAAGACTATACTAGGAAAGTGTCATGATTCTGTCTGGGACTTGAAATTAATTAAGCTTGGAACTGACGGTCGATTGGTGAATTTAAATTTTATATTAGTCTAATTTTATAACTAACAACTTTATATCTAAACACTAATTGAAAGAGCCACTAAAAAAGTAATTTAATTAACAAATAAATGTTTGCCTTTTCGGTTGTTAATCTCGCATTCTATACACATTATCTCTTTTAGTATTAATCCTCTATTCAAAACATCAACTTGAAAAAAAAAAATAAAAACAACATAATGTGTTATCTAAGATAACCCAGTGGAATAATCATATTTTTTAAGCTACCATAACCCAAAAGAAGATGATATTTATATTAATTTTTCATATTTCATTATGGAAATTCATATAATAATCTAATGCATGTATTCTTGACGTTTGCTCACCGGAAAAAATCTAAAACTCTGCTTGCATTAATTTAACTTTATTTTTCTAGGTTTAATATTTAATTTTATTTTTATTTCATTCATTTATCTTTCATATATGTCTCAAGAGCTCCGTTCAAC